CCTATCATTTTTTGCACCTCTTTATAGGTTTTCCCCTCTCCAATCAACTTTTTAATCAAAGTACGCTGTTCTTCTGAACAATGTCTTGAACGACCCATTTTCCTCAGGCTTTCAAATGCATGTTTAACAAGTGCTGGCTTCATCCTTAAATAGGGGCCACCTGATTCACACCTGTTATTTCACAAAATTGATGACCTCACTGATTGAATGCCACACTGCTATTTTTTTGAACACACCCCTTTCAACTAATTGCCCAATTGCACAGCCTTAAGAGCGTGCATATCATGAATGCTGGGTCTTGTTTGCTTTCTGAGAATCTACTGCACCTACTGGTAACTTGTTTGCCATGTAGCAATAAAAAATATACTAAAAACCTGGATTATTCTGGTTAGTCACATTGTACTGCTATTATTTTGAACAATACTGTATAACTGAGAAGTTGGCGCTACTGGACATTTGATTATACATGATCCTGTAGGTCTGAGGCTCTGCTGTGTTCTCAAGCATAACTGAACTTTTGTTCACATCAGAAAACAATAACATCATTTAGAATTTTGGTGATGGGCCTTCAAGTTAAATGTTGTTTATTGTGTCACAGCATTGTCCTGATGTGTTGTGTGCTGTGTCCAGCAGGGGGAGCTGTGGCACCTGCTGGACCTATTGAAGAGCACCGAGACACTGACAGAGGAAGAGCTGGCCAGCCTGTCCATCCTCATGTCAGACTTCCAGGCTGCTCTGGCCAGTGTCCAACCCTCTGCTAAGAGGGAGGGCTTTGCCACCGTGCCTGATGTCACCTGGGAGGACGTGGGAGCCCTGCAGGACATCAGAGAGGAGCTCACCATGGCCATACTGGTAAACATACTGGGAAACAACTTCTTCACATTTAACTTCCATGACTCTGTCTGAGAGGAAGCTCATCTCTGGGATCATTGCCTTTTATTGGACAGTTTTTTTTTTATCCCCCTAAGATGAACCTTCTCATGTTCATATCATTTATCATAAAGTGGTCCCCTCACATGGCTTATTAACTGTAGTCATACGTAGTAAGAACTTCTGTTATCTTAGAGAGCCTCTGTTCTGTCTTGTGTTCTCTATTATCTTGATCTGAATCTTATTTGTCATCATCTTTTCATCTTGTTAACACTTTAGACTCAGCTGACCAGAGCATATGAACAGTGGGAATTTCCACTCCTCACTCATGGGGCTGGTTGCCTGCTCCACTCCCCCGCTCAAAGCCGCACCGGGCCACTCCACTCATTATCTCTTGGTGCTCAAGTCAGATTGCACCCGCTCACTCCGAAAAAGGGCAAGAACTGTATTTCCTTTTTAGAATTAGAAACTACTCGGACCCCTGGCTCAATGACACTACTTGTGCCTATCGGAGACGCTGCAGACAGGCAGAGCACAAATGGAGGAAGGACGGTCTACAAGTCTCCCTAGGCATTTTGAGAGACAGCCGTCAGGCTTATCAGAGAGCTGCGAACGGCGCTAAGGCGCAATATTTATGTCATTTTGAAAAATAGGCATCAGCCGAGAGTGCTGTTTAAGACCATTAATGCTGTTATTAATCCCTCTAGTGCTGTACCTGTTGAAGCCTCGAATACTATTTGCAATGACTTTTTAATGTACTTCCGTGAGAAAATTTGGACTTCATTAACTCCTGCCTGAGCTCAGGCTTAGTTCGTGCACCCCTTAAGCATGCGGTAATTAGACCCTTGCTTAAAAAGCCCAATCTCGATTCGACCGTATTAGGAAATTTTTGTCCAATATCTCTTCTGCCTTTTCTCTCTAAAGTTACTGAGAAGCTGGTGCTTATCCAGCTCCAAGCGCACCTTGATCGGTTAGAAATCGTTGACAAATTTCAATCAGGGTTCAGGTCTCGACACAGCACTGAGTCTGCCTTACTCAAGGTACACAATGATATTGCATTAGCCCTTGATGCTGGACGCCCCGTCATTCTAGCTTTGCTGGACCTATCGGCCGCCTTTGACACAATAGACCACTCTATTCTACTTGCAAAGTTCAAGCACCTCTTTGGCCTGGGAGGTGTTGGTTTAAGTCGTATCATACCAACAGAACCTATTCGGTCATCATCGGCGACTATTCTTCCAACACAGCTTCTCTGACCTCAGGCGTCCCACAAGGCTCCATTCTGGCTCTTCTGCTCTTTTCCTTATATTTGTCTCCACTTGCCGCTATCATATCTAGGCATAACGTTTCTTTCCATTTTTATGCTGATGATATTCAAATTTACATGCCTTTGGTACAACCTGAATCAGGCTCGTTTGCTTCACTGCAGAACTGTGTGCACGAGGTTAAGATTTGGTTAGCTCAAAATCTCCTCTATTTAAATGAAGAGAAAACTGAATACATTCTTATTAGCTCTGCCCCAGCTGTGGTCATATCCAACTTAGGCACTTCTGCCCCCCCCTTCTCAAACATTGTAAAAAATTTGGGTGTCATATTTGATACAAATTTTAACTTCGATAAGCAGATTAGGTCTGTGGTAAAAACTGGCTTTTACCAACTGAGATTGTTAGCCAAGGTAAAACCATTCCTGTCTTCTGCGGATGGAGAGAAAGCCATTCACAGCTTTGTGACCTCCTGGCTTGACTACTGTAACGCCCTCTTTGCTGGTTTGCCCCAGTCAGCCTTGGCTAGGCTCCAACTGGTGCAAAATGCAGCCGCCCGTCTGCTCACAAACGCTCGTCGGCAGGCCCATATCACCCCAGTCCTGCTGTCTCTCCACTGGTTGCCGGTAAAATGGAGAGTGGAGTTCAAGATGCTGCTTTGTGTTTAAAGCCGTGCACAGCCTTGCCCTCCTGTATTTATCGGACCTCCTGTCCAGATATGTCCCTCGCAGAACTACGGTCGTCAGGTCACCTCGCCCTCGTGGTTCCCTCTTTTCACTATAAGAAATGGGGAGGTCACGCTTTTGCCGTGCATGGCCCTAGACTGTGGAACTCTCTACCCCTAGATGTTCGCGCTGAAACGGAGCTAGGAGCTTTCAAGTCAGCTCTAATAACTTATTTTTTTAAACAAGCTTTTAATGTTTAGTCTGTTTTATCTGTCTTGGAGGCCATTGTTCTTTAGTCTGCTCCCACAGCAGTATGCTGGACCGAAGTGCGCTATATGCCTAGGAGTGCTTGTGCCTGTCTTATGTTTATCTATTGCTTGTGTAAGACTTTGATTGTTTTTAAATTTATTGCTGTTGCACTTTGTGCTCTTTGAGTTGGAAAGTGCATTATAAATACATTTTTATTATTATTATTACTTTATTAGGTACACCTGTACAACTGTATGCACTTCAGTGCAACTCTTCCACTTTAACATCTGTGTTTATATAGAAATGATTTATTTCAAATTACAGTTAGACCTATAGCGAGGAATATAAGACAAAAGATTGTATGTTAAATTCAACCAATCAATAGATCTAATTAAATAAAAATATACAGTACACCTGTCCAAGGTCCGGGAGAAGGCCTCGGGGCAGATCCAGGACACGCTGGAGAGACTATTTCTCCCAGCTGGCCTGGGAATGCCTTGGGGTTCCTCCTGAGGAGTTAGAGGAGGTGTATGGGGAGAGGGAAGTCTGGGAGGCTCTGCTCAGGCTACTGCCCCGGCGACCCGGTCTCGGATGAAGATGGATACATGGAATACACCTGTCTGACCTTTACGTTTCCGTTTTAAAATTCTTTAGGAACTCCATTATTGAGCTGCAACAGCCGATTATTGACAAAGTGTTGGATGACAAGACACAGATGCATTCTGGGTCGGGCTTGGGCATGCCTCAGGCTCGTGGTGTGAGCGGTACCAGAGTGAAATTGGAGCTGGACAGAGGGCAGTGCTCCTTTTTAAAAAAGCCGCTCTGTGCTCTGTCCAAAATCCACCCGCTTCCACTCCCTGCCTACTTGCGCTCCGCTCACATGCTCTGCAGCTGAGCCCCCCCGTTAAACCTTGTTAGTGTATGTATCAGTGGTTCCAGTAGGTATTCTGCACCTACTTTTGGATACAAATCTCTGGCATGTACTGGCTGTGATGATATCCACAGCTACAAGATGAACAGATTGGGGTCTTTGGACCACACTGGTGGACTGGCACTGCTGTGACTTGTCACATTTGACCTGTTTTTTACTGTCACTGTGCCTGTTCTGAGTGTTGGCACAGAGTAACACAGCTGTGTGTGTGTGTCCTTCAGGCTCCCGTGCGTTCTCCAGAGCAGTTCCGAGCTCTAGGGCTCAGCGCTCCATCTGGAGTGCTTCTGGCTGGACCTCCAGGATGTGGAAAAACACTGCTGGCCAAGGTCTCCAACACACCAACATAATCATACCTGATGTATCTGAGAAACACAGCACTGCCATTTCTGTGAACAACTGGACTGCAATTTAAAATGTTTTACAACATCTGATATAATGTTTATCAGCTTATAAGCCCACATGTCACCTAGCTGTCTCTGCAAACACTGTGTTGTTTTCTGACAGGCAGTGGCCAATGAGTCAGGCCTCAACTTCATCTCTGTCAAGGGTCCAGAGCTGCTCAACATGGTGAGTCACTGAGCTGCAGGAACATGCTGGCTTGGTGGGGCTGCTCTGCCTTGTTGACACTGTTGGGCCATCACATGGCCAGACACACCCTTCTATTAACTACTAATCACATCTGAGAATCTCATTCAGTTGGACTGGGTGCTATTCAAGAAAGGAGTTTAACAACATCCTGGAGACTTGCAGGCTTTTTCCATAATGGTGGCTCATGTAATTACAGATCCTAAAACACCAGCTTATAACTGCTACTTCACAACCTCACACTAAATATTGTGAAAGCTCTTGGACTGATACTTCGTCCCTGATGTCATTACTCACCACACTGAGTCAGAGATGGCTGAGCCTTGAAAGAGCTGGTTGCACTCACTGATGGGTCTCTGTGTTGCTGTGTGCAGTATGTGGGAGAGAGCGAGCGAGCGGTCAGACAGGTCTTCCAGAGAGGACGCAACTCCGCGCCTTGTGTCATTTTCTTTGATGAAATTGATGCTCTGTGTCCTCGCCGCTCAGGCTATGAGGTGAGAGCGATGGACGCCATGATCTGATAAGAATCAGTGAGCATCATGTTCAAGATATGAGACGGTGTAACGTGCTACATTGATAAACACTGGAGAAGTCATGTTCAAGATATGAGACGGTGTAACATGTGCTACATTGATAAAGACTGGAGAATCAGGTAGGGTGCAGTAGCAGTGATGTACACACCTGGAGAGTGGCTGCACATCCTACTTGGGAAATAGGAAAGTGCCATTTTCCCAATTACTTGACAGTACTAGTGTGGTGGCCTAAAAATGAAAGTGCTTCAATGAGAACACACTGCCACTGTGTTGCCCTTTAACAGTACTTCACAGAACATAAGTATACAGTCAAATCTCTTGAATATGTAGTGAGCTGGTGATATACAATATGAGTGTGCATGAACTGTGTGTGCATGTTCAGTCAGGAGCCAGTGTACGGGTGGTCAATCAGCTGCTCACGGAGATGGATGGCTTAGAGACCCGACGACAGGTCTTCATCATGGCGGCTACCAACAGACCAGGTACAGATCCGGTTTCACTCCGACCTGAATCCCTCCATGTAACCGGAGACACGGTGAAGCCTGAGCCGAGCTGAGATGGTTCCAGTGTAATCACACATAGCTCAAATCTGATTCTGACACAGATGCTGCAGCTGTACACCAAGCATCAACTGTCATATATCCAACAGCAAGTCAAGTCCGTTTATATTTGCATAGTCCATTTTCACAAATCACAAATTTGCCTCAAGGGCCTTTACAATCTGTAAAGCATGGGACACCCTTAGACACCCTTAGCTATGCGTACACTCGTTTCTGAATGCATTCGCAGATTTCTCCACTGGGGTTTTGTCTGCTCAGTTCGCAAGTCAATTTGAGACAGCACGGACAGGAATTTGTAAAAGCCGAAATAGATCTGAGGGCAAAGGAGGACAGAATCATGAGCGTCACAGGTGGTTTGAGTGAGCACTGAGGAGCCTCCCTTGTTCTTAAATCTGACTCTGAGCTTACAAATCTGTGCCTGTGCACTCTAAACACTGAGTTGCAAACTGAGTAGCGCTCGAAATGTTTGTGTGCTCTCAAATGTTATGGTGGAGATGTACTTCCAAACAAATGTTCCATCTCTCCTGTAGAATCAGTGCCAAGGTGCACTAAAGCTATTCTGGTGGTACATGGTGGCCTAGCACCTTACCAAGACGCTTTATGTTGGGTTTTCTTTTATTTCTCACCTGTCTGTAGTTACTTTTCAGATTTTGGACAAGAACATATGCTGATAAAACATAATACATTATTATAAGCTAAGCCAGTAGTTTAGTATCTTTTTGTCTTCTGATCTCTTTAGAAAAAAATAGTCTTGCTGATGCCACAGTAATGTCTAATCCACAATAAATTCTTCAATATCTAACTGTGCAAACGTGAGAGAAAAGTCAAACACAACTTATTCTTTAATCTCCCATTAATCATCTGATGACCCCTCAAATTCATTTGTTGGCCCTTTGGAGGGGCCTGACCCCTAAGTTGGGAACTGCTGGACTACAGTAGCTTCAGTATTATCTATATTTATGTAGAATATCAATCACACATTCACTATAACTTGTGATATTTTGAGTAGATTTTGCTGAAAATCCTAATGTACTTAAGTAGAATTATACTTGTAATGGAATATTTTTACATAGTTGTGTTGCTATTTGGTTTTTTCAAACTGGGTTTTTAAATAAATTCATTCTTTGTTGTTGTTCTAAATACTGAGTGACTGTCTTGATCCTGTGTCTTGCCAGATATCATTGATCCTGCCATACTGAGGCCAGGTCGTCTGGATAAAACCTTATATGTGGGTCTGCCACCTCCAGCTGATCGCCATGCCATCCTGCTCACTATTACTAAGGTACATGTTACAGAACCAAAGAGCTTAGCTAGATCATTTTTCCTTTTTTTTTTATGTGGCACTAGTTGTCCAGGTATCTGCTACAGGAGACTGGACACAGATGCTGCAGCTGTACACAAAGCATAGATTGTCATATATCCAGCAGCAAGTCAGGTCAGTTTATATTTACATAGTCCATTTTCACAAATCACAAATTTGCCTCAAGGGCCTTTACAATCTGTAAAGTATGGGACACCCTTAGACCCTTGAACTGGATAAAGCCAAATGCCCCAGAACAAACCTTTAAGGGACAAAAACAAAAAAAAAAGAAACCTCAGGAAGACCAACAAATGAGGGAACCTTCTTCCAGGATGGATAGACATGTAATGGCAGCACCACTGACACAGGCCGATCCAAATGTACACTCACTGGACACTTTATTAGGTACACTTGTACAGCTGTATGCAATTCAGTGCAACACTTCTGCCTTAACATATGTGTTTATGAAGCTTAAAATGTTTGTTTTTGGTGAAATTGTCAAATGTATCGGTTCAATTACATGTTTATTATTGAGGTCATAGTTAAAGGTGGTGTTTTACTGGACTACATGATATTCAGAGGTGTTCCTTAGCTAGGCTAACCGCACACCAACTCCAAACGCCAAGAAATGAATCAGCCATTGACCGTCTTCTCCGTTGTAGGGAGGGACCAAGCCTCAGATGGAGCACGATGTCAGGCTTGAAGAGATCGCCTTTGACGAGCGCTGTGATTGCTTCACGTAAGTTGTGACTGCAAACAGCAGGTGTCCTCAGACATGTAGCAATTGTATTCATACTGTCTCCTACTTACATAAATGTGTTTAAAACACTTGTGTCTGAGAAACAAATTAAGTGTAGAGGCACTTATTTATAAATCTGATGACCAGAATGAGACCCGATCCAGACCTAGTCTAAATGTGTGTGTGTGTGTGTGTTGTGGTCCAGTGGAGCTGATCTGACTGCGTTAGTGAGAGAAGCATCGGTTCATGCCCTGAGGGCCTTCCTGAAGCATTTACCAGCTGATGTTTCTGGTAAGTTGCCTCCCTATATACAGTGGGTACGGAAAGTATTCAGACCCCCTTAAATTTTTCACTCTTTGTTATATTGCAGCCATATGCTAAAATCATTTAAGTTCATTTTTTTCCTCATTAATGTACACACAGCACCCCATATTGACAGAAAAACACAGAATGTTTGACATTTTTGCAGATTTATTAAAAAAGAAAAACTGAAATATCACATGGTCATAAGTATTCAGACCCTTTGCTCAGTATTTAGTAGAAGCACCCTTTTGAGCTAATACAGCCATGAGTCTTTTTGGGAATGATGCAACAAGTTTTTCACACCTGCATTTGGGGATACTCTGCCATTCCTCCTTGCAGATCCTCTCCAGTTCTGTCAGGTTGGATGGTAAACATTGGTTGACATTTTCAGGTCTCTCCAGAGATGCTAAATTGGGTTTAAGCCAGGGCTCTGGCTGGGCCATTCAAGAACAGTCACGGAGTTGTTGGGAAGCCACTCCGTTATTTTAGCTGTGTGCTTAGGGCCATTGTCTTGTTGGAAGGTGAACCTTCGGCCCAGTCTGAGGTCCTGAGCACTCGGGAGAAGGTTTTCGTCCAGGATATCCCAGTACTTGGCCGCATTCATCCTTCCCTCGATTGCATTAATGAATTGATTGAATTAAGGCCAAAAAGTTCTATCTTGGTCTCATCAGACCAGAGAATCTTATTTCTCACC